TAATTCAAAATACAAACAAATTGTTATCTTATTTTGTCAATAACAAGGGAATGTTGCCAACGTTTTTTTAATGTTGCCAACTTTTATGTTAAACTGTCGATGTCGCTCCCATGCCTTACCGTAATACTATTTTTGAATCGAAGCGACGGCGAAGGCGACTTGCACATAAAGTCGACGACGACTATAGAAACGACAACCGTAATTGGCCCGAATGTATGAACGTATTAACACAACAAATGAAACCCATTCATAAAAAAATTAATAATTTCATAAAATCAATGAAACCCTTTCATTATTTAAATGTACATCATTCATTTAGCATATAAAGGGGTTTCATTTGTTGTATGAATATGTTTTATTCAATCTATGAACACATTTCATTGGATTTATGAAGACATTTTATTCGATTTGTGAATAAGATTCATTAAATCTATGAAGATGTTGCATTGAATTGAAAAATTGAATTGAATATGTTTCATAGAATAAATGAAAGCTTCATTAAATCAATGAATTTATTTCATTACATCAATGAACATATTTCATTGGGTTAATGAAACTTTTTCAATAAATGTGTGAATATGATTCATTAGACGAATGCAACTATACATTAAATATATGAAGATATTTCATATATTCTATGAACTTGTTTCATTATATCTTTGAATGGCTGTCATTAATCTACTGCAATATTTCATCCATCCAATGATGAAAACGTTTCATTAAACCTATGATTTCGATACATTCATCCAATGAAATATTTCTTTGGTCTTTTTTAATGAAACATTTCATTGGGCCAATGCAGAAATTCATTATATTAATGCAGAAATTTCTCTCAGTGAAGTAGCACACTTCGGAGATTATTACGTTAGAAATGACTTTAGCACAGTTTTAGTCAATTCTTAATATTAAGAAAATTATGCTTATTTTATATAATTTTTTAAGTTTATTAAAAGATTAGAATCTTTTAAGGACGGGAGTATGTTTAGTTTTGTAGAAACTGTACTTGTTGTATAAATAGTTTGTGTGTTGAATGTACTTTTTTAAATTTTTATCTCATTTTTATTTGTCTTTGCCGAAGATTGTAATTTATTTAAAGAAAAAAAAAAATACTTAAGAGGCATGTGTTTTCCATATGCTATGTTTATGGTCGGTAATAAATAATGAAATTAGTGTCATGGCCATAAATAGAAGATAGGGTCGATCACAAAGTAGGTACGTTTCGATTCCTCCCGCAACGTAATGTGTGCGTGGAGTGCATTATGTATTTAGACGCAGCGTTAGTAAATAAATGCATGTGTAAATGTAGTTGATGTTTTAAAATAAATTGAGTTCCTTTCCAGCCACGGAACAAGAAGCATCATTTCGCGGCGTTTTTCTTTTCATTTTTAGTTACACCGTCTTGTGATGAGGTTAGGAGTCGACCTCGTCAGAAGTAATTAGATGTTTTGGGTCTACGGATATTAGAATGTGTATCGATTACATAATTAATATGAAACATTTATTACGAAAGTAACATTTTAACATTTGATGTAAACGTGAACAGTTTTAGTATAACGATACCTGTTAATCCACCATTATTGCAAGTTCCAAAGAAAGAAACAACCACCAATTCGAAGGAACAAACCTTGCAGGATAATAGCGAATGTAGACCCCAGTGAGTCATCATTTTTATCGTCATCGCAGTAAGAGACCAACCGCAATCTCCACAACAGTAATTCAGGAAGCAGTTGACTCCTCACTGTTCAAATTCCGGAAAACGAATATTTTCTCCAATGTAACTGCGATGGTCTCCAAGGTAAGATCAACGAAATTGTAAGCTTCATGAGTCCGAAGAATATCAAGGTCGCAGCGATCCAGGAAAGAAGCTGAGTACCACTGCAGGATTCAAAGTTGTGATGGATACAACTTATTGAGGAAGGGTCGCATCAGAGGTGGATGTGGTGGATTTGCACCACTCTGTCCAGTACAAATCTATCTCGCCCAAGCTTCTCTCTAGTACTTAGAGGACGAGCCAACCAGAATAAGTAGAGACTGCCACAACTCGCCGGACATATCCATCGTGTTCCCAGGTCTGACGAATGACGTAACATGGCAATCAGTCATTTCTTTCGGCTCAGACCACCTCCCAATTATTGTCGCCAAAAACAGACTACCCGACTTCATAGACTCTGAATAAGCTGAATGTAAGGTGAATACCGTACTAGAAGACCATCCCCCTTCCATCGTAGCTGAAGAGCGGGAACTGTCCCGACAAACTCGAGTAGTTTTGGCACAGTTTAGATCCGGATGGTGCAGCCGCCTCATTTCATATTGGACCCGGATTGACAGCGATGAGCAGAACATCTGCCCAGCCTGTGGCACAGGCCCACATGACATGCTGCCCAGCCAAAGCTACTCAACTAACTCCAGTACCGTTGTGAACCCAACCCGTGGTGTTGCGTCCTTGTTGAGGCTGGACTTAGAAGCAAAACCCGATTGAGACGAGGAGCTGCTACAACAACAGTACTTAAGGAAAATATTTTTAAAAATCAGAATCGCATCAACAATTGAACTGTAAGGTTGTGTGTGTTCCTTTCTCGTCTTCCTACATTTGGTCCTTCGAGCTGGATAGAGAACTGTATATTCAATTCTAACAAAGCGGTAGTGTTTTCCTTTCTCACTAAAACATTGTTCCTTCGAGTAATTTATTCATATTTATAGAGACAATCAGATGATGATTTTTGTTTTGTTAGCCATTTATTTTCAGTTCAATTGATTCTTATATCAAAAAGGAAAGGGGTAGGATGATTTAAGAACTGTGTCGATAGCGTGGCCTTTGTGCGGGAAATAGAAGAGATTTTAAAACGTCCCTTTGCTTTGTGGCCTTATTGAGTCTTCACAGACTAGCACTTGTTTAAAAAGCATTATCCAATGATTTAGTAAGTAAGCAACGGCTACAGTCGGGGGGATAGACCATGGGCTACCCTACAACCCTTTAATTTACGGCAGTTTCTGTAGATCTGAAACCTTTTGGACTGGATATTGGGATACATACTTTGACTATTAAAATCATCAATCTATATGTCTGGTTTGCTTACTAGCAGTTTCAAAAAATGTAATACATTCCTATTTTAGGGTTTCGTATCAATTGTCTCATTTAAAAATTTAGATAAATATTATCATATTAATATTATTTTATCCAAAATGGTAAGCTTCTGTCTGGTAAGGTATGACGAAAAGAATATATAATTTTGAATATGTATGTGACATTGAGCGGTGGTCAATATGGACCTATATTAAAAAGTTGGGTGTTTGTACTGAGTACATGTTTCAAAAAACTTTCTAAATGTTTCTAATTAATAATATTTCCATTCAACATATCTATTAGTTCAACTTCTGTGAGAAGTGATTTATTAAAGTACGAAAAGCGGAATTTTTTAATAGCTGGTATCGGCCTGGAAAATTCAACAAATTTTCTATTTAAAAGGTGTTAAATTGTTTGTACTTTAAGCAGCGTTCGAAAATAAGCAGTATGGTACTGTATCGTAGTGTTCTGTTTTTTAGTGATACTGTACCAGAGCACAACGAGAATCGTAGTGTTCCGCAGCCGGAGCACTACAAAATCGTAGTGTACCACATGGCGGAACATGAAAAAAAATGTACCGGTAGTATACCACATGTGTGTTGTTTACGATTTTTGAGAAAAATTAGATGTTGGATGTTTTTGGTCATGCAAAAAATTATATTAAAATTAAAAATTATTTGTCTTGTATGTTTAGATTGGTTGCGAAATTGAAGATAGTAGAAAAATATGAGAAAAGGTAGAAAGAATAAAAAATGACCAAATCTGAAGTAAAAATAATTTGTATTTAACTATTGAAAATTTAAATTTTAATTTTCCGCGAAAAAGGGTATTTTAGTGGTTGCGTTGTAATGGGTTATTCTGCAGATAATTACCTGCTATTTTGTGGTACCGAGAAATCAATGAATGTACGCGTAAAAAACTAAACTCCGACTGCGGTAAACTACGATCATCGTTGTGTTCCGGTACAGTATCACTAAAATATATTTAGTGGTAGTGTACCGCTACACTACAGCTATTTTTTAGTAATACTGTACCAGTACTGTACACTATGTTTGTGTACTGTTTATTTTCGAACGCTGACTTTAAGTCTGTAGGAAGCATTGGATTTTAGGTAGTTTTGTCAGATTCTTACTGAAATTTGATATGTTATTTTGCGATTTTAAGTAATTTATATGTGTAAAATATCCAATATCTATTTCGTAGTCTGTTATCTATACAGTCATACAGCTCTGATGTTAAATAGTTTAAATGGTTGCATAATTTGTAAATATGACCTTTTCCAATTCCAGTCTCGCATACATAAGTAGTCTGATATTTTGTTCTAATTGTAGTAAACCAAGTGCAACCCAAGGTTAACGCACTTTCTGCAATTAACGCGCATTTTTCATTGGTACGAAATAACTTTGACGCCTATTTCGGAGAAACGATGAAAAAGCTCGAAAAGTCGACTTGGATATGTAACTCATTTCTTGACCAACTATCAACATATTTGTCCAACAAAGCAGGGGTGGATCATTATTTAAATAAACTCCCACAATTTTTGCTTGATCTTTTTGTCTGCGGTCATTTACATAATAACTGTCAAACCAATTTTGAATCAAAAATTATTCAAATTCGTTAAAATTGTTGAAAACTGAATATCCTAACAACCTCCGATTGGCGTCGTATAAGAAAACAAGAAAAATATTAAAAACAAAAAAAAAAAAAAAAAAAACATTTTAAAAAATTGTACATATCATGCTCCTAAGCGTTGATGCACCTACCTGTATTCTTATACTATGATATTTATGGAAAAATCAACAAATAATTTTAGCAATAGAAGTTCTTAAAAATTTAATACAAAAAATGTTTTGTTATAATTGCCTACCGTCCTACTAAATTCTATCGAGGGTTTTCTTTTTTAATAAGGTGCTTTTGTATATATTATTAAACTTACCTCGACCCAAAGTGGCTCCACAGCTTTAGGACATCTTTCGTAAATGCCAATTCCATGAGAAAAATCTATTACTTCATCCTCAGTTCCATGTATTACCAAAACGGGTGACTTAACTTTTGAAACCTTGTCAATGCTGTGATATGCTACAGTTAGTTAGGATAAATAGATTTAAAAAAGTGTATATGGGACAAGGTAAACAAAAATCTTAAGTTTTGTCTGCTGATGTTTGTTATTGAATGCCATTATTCAAAGTTATGTTAAATAGTCACATATGAAAAAATAAGCGTAAGAATGTTTTAATATATTTTTGGGATATAAACCATTTTTATGTAACTTTAAATTCTCTAAATGTTTTATACTGATTTTTACGTACATAATTATATTTAAAGAAACTTTGCGTTAAATTGTAATAAATTGAGCCAAAAGGTGGGAATATTTGAATATTCATATTTATCGATAACAAGCCCCGTATATCAGAAACGATACTATGACATCACAAAGTAACTAGAAAATGTAACACTCAGAATGAAATAAAATATTAATACATTTTCCGGACCTGTAAGCCTACACAACAAGCTTGTTAACTAGTATCGGGGATGTTGTTGTGATGTTGAACTAGAATGTTAAAGGTACGGCCACACTGAGCAAATAAATTTGTTTCTCAAAACGGAATACCACTTTTGTAAAAAATAAAGGGATAAAGCCTGACCATTTTGCAGCAACAAAATGAGGTCTATGAAATTGTTTCTAAACAGCGAAGAAACAAACATTTAGTTGACCGAGAGAAATAGAGGTAGATTTAAAGAAAGACAAAGAAATAAGTTTTTTAAATTTAAATTTGTATATAATATGTATTTCGCGAATACATGTTGTATATCATGTGATGTACTACTTCTATTCTAAACACAGTGTTGTTGTCCTAAAACTTGTGTGATATATATAATAAATGAAAGTTAAGGAACTGTAGTTTCAACAAGACACTACTCATACGGTCAGAGAAACGATTCAATTACTACATCAGTCATTTCCCGGTCGTATTACATTGGAATTCTCCTAATGACATTGACCATTTAAATGTAAAAATTAAAATAAATTGTAACACACACAAAACCACACGTAAACGTTTAACAGGAAACAAAAAGTTCTGTCTGTGTAAATCCTAACAATGACATCCACACCTTCTAAGTTAATACTTGCCCATATTGTTTAACTCATAAGCTGGTAATAAAAGCGATACGGATAGCTATATGACTAAGCCACCCGTTAAAATATTTTTTTTTTCAATCAGTATACAAATATATATAGTTAGTCAAAATAAAACAAACAAAACATTTTCTAAACTTAAACTCTTACACCGCCTCCTCATCATCTGATATCATAATCAAATGTAGCCCTCGTCTGGATTCATCTTCAATACAAATTCCAAAACAAATGCACCAAAACAGAATGTACTCCATAATCTATCGTAACTTATCAACTTATAAAAATTATGAATATGCCAATTCTGCAACAGCAATTCTAGTAAAAAATAATATCAATTAAACGAATACTGTCGATTCAGCTAGAGATCTTGCTTTGCAATAATTTACACGCAAAATTGTAAACTTGATATATATATTCCACATAATCACCAGACTCTCTTAACTAGTGACTCAAATATTCAGAGCACTTGACGGAATATGTCTCACACTTCTGAACGAGGCCTTACATGAACAGAAAATACAAGGATAGAAAATATTACAACATTGTTATGGCACAAGATTAAACACATATATTTCTCGCTGTGTTCCAGAACTGCAAGAATATAAAACTTTTTTACTTTAAACTAGTAGATTCTTTCATGTTTTAGAACTGAGTATATATGAATGTTACCGAAATACGCGAGCGTATGAAATTTCAATGTTGACCAATTTCAATACTGGCAATTGTACAATTTTTTTATGTTGAAAAAGGAATCAGTAATACTCGCACAAACTAAATGCGAATGTTGGAAAAATAAAAATGTATGAAATAGATCAATTTTTGGTTTGTCTGGTTTGTCTAGGCAACTGGCGTTCTTCAGCTGCAATGGCATTCATTTCATATCTGCTGATAGCATCCGCGACTGCATCTGTATAAAAGCCAAAGCCATAAAAAGGATTGCCTGATAGGCTTCTTGATCTAGAGGTTCTCTTTTATAGCGTTGGACCTCCCTCTCTAGATCGTTGTTGTTGTTGTAGCAGTAGTACATGTATGTGTTTGCGTTCTGCTATTCTGGTTCCAGCTCCAGGTTTAGAAATTCGGCTACTTTAACGGGCTGTAGCCAGAGATCTTCTGGAGTGAGTTGGGTAGGTTTGGCTGAGCAATTAAAAAGGCGTAGCGAATTGTGCGGGCCTGTATCGCACGCCGGGTAGGCTTCACGCACATCCTCTTCAATTCGTGCCCAATACGAATTGAGACGACTACACCATCCTGAACGTAATTCCGCCAAAACTTCTGCTATTCTGGTTCCAGCTCCAGGTTTAGAAATTCGGCTACTTTAACGGGCTGTAGCCAGAGATCTTCTGGAGTGAGTTGGGTAGGTTTGGCTGAGCAATTAAAAAGGTGTAGCGTATTGTGCGGGCCTGTATCGCACGCCGGGCAGGCTTTACGCACATCCTCTTCAATTCGTGCCCAATACGAATTGAGACGACTACACCATCCTGAACGTAATTCCGCCAAAACTGGTTTGTCTAGGCAGCTGACGTTCTTCAGCTGCAATGGATGGGATGTGGACTCCGAGGACGGCATTTACTTTATAACTGCTAATAGCATCCGCGACTGCATCGGTGTGAATGCCACTCGGACCTGCCTGATAGGCTTCTAGAGGTTCTCTCTTCGTTCTCTAGATCGTGTATGTCCTTCCTGACACGCCTGGGTGGGAGAGTTGTATGTTCCATCTGATGGTTGGGATGACTCTCACGGTAACACCCAAGCAGGTACTGCAACGGAAGCATATGATTATGCTGACGTAAGGGAAGGATTTTCGCCTCCTCATGTAGATGGTGTCATGAAAAGGCACCCTGTCGCAGTTCTCAGGGCAAAGTTTTGGAAGGTTTGGATGTGCTTCCACTGCGTAGCACTAGTATTCGCAGACCAAACTGGAGCCGCATAGCTGACCACGGACCGACCTATCGCGTTATAAGAGGTCAACAAGGTTTCCTTGTCCCAACCCAAAAGGCAACAAGTAATGACCGAAACAACAGATTCTGTATTATCGGCTATAATAACGAGGCTGACGAAATAACACAACCTGAACAGACACTCCCAAAGGTTGGGTAAATCTAATTTTAATGTGGTCTCTAATAAGAGAGGAAATCCGCAAGAGACAAAATGAATCATAATCTTAGCAACTAAAGAAAAAGGGACAAATTCATCCAATTTATAAACTTAGGCAGAGTCGAAATAGAAAAATCTCAAAAAAGGAAAGGTCAACCTCAATGTAAAAACTGCCAAATGTACGGGCATACGTATTGCAAACTGCTATCGGTGTATGTGCTAATTGCGGCGATCTCCACAAATCCTCGGAATGCAAACGTCAAGAGGTGCAGAAAACGGAAACAGAAACCATATTGCAAACTACAGAGGATGCCCTGTATATGTCAACATAAAAAAACTAACTTAGCCACACAAAAGCTTGCAAACTACCGGATATGAGAAAACTTACAATTTAATAAAAAAATCGTCTGATTTCCCTGAGCTAAAAAAGAGGAAAGAATTCACCGCCCCAATTACAATCTACCGTCTCAGAATATGCAATACTTATATTCTATATATATCATCTATCAAAAAACATATCGACGCCATGAATTTTTTTCATGACAAACATGAAATCATGATGCAAGATATGGTGAGAAATCAATATATGCTAACGCAAATCGATTTAAAACAAAAATAGATAAAATTTGAATCTGTGTTTTGAACGCAAACGGCTTAAGCCAACATAAACACGAGGTCGAAAACATTATTCGTTACACATTTTATTGGTATATAATACTCATTTCACTTCTAGAAACTGTTTTATAATAAACGGTTACAGTACATATGACACTAAACACCCTCGTGGAGAAAATGGGACTTGGGCAAAAACTACAGAAGATGAAGTAAACGCATTTGCCAAGCACCTTGAATCTGTATTTACACCAAATCCCGGGCCATCGACAGTTTTTCAAACTTTTATTGAAGACACCGTTCCGAACCCAATACGATTTCCTCTAAAAGATATGAAAAGTTCTATAGCTTCGACGAAACTAAAAAGATCTCCTGGTAAAGATCAAATTACTCCAAACAAGTTCAAGAAGTTAACAACTACGACCGTAAAACTTGTTTTTCATATTTAACAGCATTCTTCGAGTAGGGTACTTCCCGTCTGCATGGAAAGAATAGTAATGATTCCGACACTTGGAAAAGGTCCAACGGATCCATCAGTCTTCTATCTATACTCTCAAGTGCACCGCATAGTTACAAACATTAGAATGGCATTCGAAAGGAAGCAATATTCGTCCGCGTTATTTACGGATATTTCCCAAGCCTTTGATAGAGTTTGGCATCTTGGAATTCTATACAAAATTTGCGAAACTCTACCTAAAAAAACATATACACCTTTTTTGTAGCTATTTGTAAAATCGTATATTAGTTGTTAAATTGAAAGACGTACTTTTAAATTCGAGAAAAATTTTGGCTGGAGTCCCACAGTGTCGTATCTTAGGTCTTATTCTGTATGTGATATTTACTGCCGATATGTCCACAACCAATGAAACTCTTACCTCAACATTGCTGATGATACTGCATTCATGTATGTCTTCTCGAAAATTGGTTGTACTCAAAGACGTAAATTTTACCCCACGATAAAAATCTTCAATACACAAGTTCCACAGAAAGATACCGTAAAATGCGAAATGCACATGGACAGAGGACTTTTTTTGTTTATTTTTCCCACGCCTCACGTTACCACACCTAGGGGGCGACCTGTATTTTAATTATTTAAAAATAAAATTATTTTAGATCTAGAAACTTTGGCAACATTCTTTGCGTCAATTGAATTTTGTACGGGAACAAATGCAAATCAATGCGAATAATCCGTTATAAAGTGGACCGAGCCATGCCCAACTGCTG